GGGGGGGGGGGGAAGACGCGAGAAGCAAAATAAAGGCGGGTGAAGGCAACCGATCTAATCATCTAAAAAAATTGTGTGTGTGAGAGTGAGAGACGGGGAGGGGTGAGGAATACCGAAATCAACACGATAAGAAGTACGAACCAAAAAAAAAAAAAAAAAAAAGGAAAGCTGGAGAGTTATATGTGCATTTGAGGTGATGCGCATTCCCGCATTCGTCAATTTTTTATTTCTCTTCGTTTTGTTTTCTTTTTCCCCCTTATTGTTTTTCCCGGTTACGGCACTGCCAATATGGCGTGCAGAACACATAATTATATGCGTGTGTTGTTTGGTGATTGTGAGGATTTGTTTCTTCTTCTCTTCTACGTGCAAAAATTTTTTTTTTTGTTTGTATGTATTTGTGTGCTACTGAAGGGTCTCCCTGCACCGGTCCGTTTATTAACTGCCTGCGGAAGAGAACCAGCACTTATATTATTTAGTTAGCAAAAAGGGGGCGCCGAGGGGTCGAATGAATGCGTGCAAAATGATGATGATGATAATGATGTGGCGTCGCACGTGCCTTGTTAGTCCGGCCGTGGGAGTTGGCGTCCACCGACTCTCTTTTTTATCCATCCCGCAGTCAGCTAAAAGGTCCTACACGACATCAAATCAGAAAAATGAGGATCGTGTGAGCGATGCATCGACAGAGCCGCCCGTGACCTCTTCACCTTCCGCGTCAGTGGATAACGAATCTGCACCTGCAGCTTCCTTCGAGACGTCCACAAAGGAATCCAGCACTTCTATTAAGAAGGGCGAAGTGCAGACGGATGTTGAGCCTCTGCGATGGGTGCAGGACTCGCGTGACGACCCGCTGACGGAGCCTATTTTTGATGAGAAGGGGCAATTTATTGTTTCCCGCGTGCAGTGGCCGACAGGCGAGATAGCGTACACGACGCCTCCACCGCCAGACGGCAAATTAGCCCCTCGTTTTGGGTACAACATTGTGCAGGTGAAGAAGGACGTGTCGTGGTGGAAGCACTACCAGAAGTATCCTCGCTTTTCCATTGCATACGTCAATATACATGTTCTCTTCCTATTGGGGGCGGCATGGCTAGCAGCGTTCCTCACAGACGAGTACCGCAAGACGATGGAAGAGATGCGCACACCAGGGGCGATGGTGGGGGAGCAGCGTGGGCGTGGGTCTGTCAACCGGCAGTCGCAAAAAGTTGCGTTTACGCCCGGCGAGATGACAGAGATTATTGGCCGGGCGCAGAACAACTGGTTGGACGCCAAGACCGAGGCGAACTACATTGGCTCAAAGGATTACAACATGAAGAAAATCCCGCGGCCGAAGGAGTTTTCCATGGAAGACTTTCGCAAGCGGTAGACGAAACGGGGACCTGGCACGCGGTGGTGAGGGAGCGGGAGAAGGAGTGAATGCTGCAGGAAAGGCCAGAAAAACAGACAAACAGAGAAAAAGACGGCAACAGCAGCAGCAGGAAAAAAAAATATATTTCAGCAAATCAGATTTACCTGGGGAAGGATGGGTAAATTGTTGAAGTGAAGGCATTGCCACTTCACTCTACTCCTCGCTCGCCTTTTATACCGCGTTGGAAGAAAAGGAATAGTGGCGGGTGGAAAGAGATGCGGTGGTTAAAAAAAAAAAAGGGTGGGGGGTTAAAGGCGCATCACCCCTTTTTATTTATTTATTTAAATTTTTTTTTTGTACAGGCATTGTTTTTTTCTTCCTTTTTTTTTTCGTTGTGGCGGCATGCGTACATGTGTGACCGCACAGCCTCACACGTTTGTGGGCAAACGAGAGCCATCAGCCCTTTCTTTTTTTTTTTTCTTCTTTTATTATTATTTGCACATCTCTGAGCCACCGTAACACCGAGCACCAGGAAGATGCACACACACACACACACACACACACACACACACACAAATGTGTACATTTATATATTTCTTCTTTTTCCCTTCTTTTTGTTGGCTCTTTTGTTATGATGTCGCCTCCCCGGTGTTGTCCCTTCACCCTCCTGCCACACAAAAGAGAGGGAAAAACAAAATTCAGCGGGGGGAGGGGAAGGGAGGGTGGCCAATACAAGTAAAAGGAAAAAAATTATTTGTTTTACTGGAAAACAAAACAAAAATAAAAAGAAGAGGAAGAGGAAGAGGAAAAAAAAAATAATTCAAAGGGGAAACAAAAAACAATATTTATTCTCCATGCAATTGAATTGGAGTTTGGGTTCAGGGGTCTCTGAATTGGGGTCCCGCTCAAATTTTTTTTTTGATGCGCCACAGGAGTATCGTGTGGCCACACGTTCCCCTCTCACTTATGCACCGCAGCAACGAAAAAGTGTGAAGGAGTGTTTTAGTGCTTACGGCTACACGAACCCTGTCGACCTGAACGATCGCTTCTCTTCAACGGATGAAATACAAGTCATAAAACACCAAACTCTTCTCCCGCGACTACCCATTCCGACTGTAGAGGAAACTTGCATTCGCTTTCTTAAATCCATTGAGGCAATCGCAACCGCTGAGGAGTACTTTGTTGCTGCGAAACTTATCGGAGAGTTCAAGGCGGCAGGGGGCATTGGGGAGAAACTCAATGCCCTTCTTATGGACTGGGACAAGCGGTGTGGGCAACCAAGTTGGTTAGAAGAGTTTTGGGATGACGCCTACCTCTGCCCACGTGATCCTATCCCCATTAATGTAAACTATTTTTTTGGCTTTAGTGCTCACCCAGAGAAGAGTGCCATGACACAAATTGGGCGTGCCGCAAGTCTGCTTTATGGCGCGGTGGCCTTTCATCTGGATTTCCGTTTTGAGAGGCTGTTGTGTGAATTTGAGCGAGATCGACCTATTTGCATGTGCCAGAACCGATTCCTTTGCTGTACGTCTCGGGTGCCCGGCAGAAAACGTGATCGCAAGGTATGCTATTGTGAATTGCCTGCTTTATCAAAAGACGAATTAGCCTCTAAGAGTGTTGAATATGTTTTCTCGGCACATCCGCCACAGCACTGTATTGTTATTCAACGCAATCGTTTCTTTTCTTTAAATGTTGTAAAGGACGACGGCAGTATTGTGGACGTGGAGGATATTGTGGTGGCGCTAAAACTCATTGAAGAACGTGTGGTAAGTCATGAGGAAGCGGGTCCACCGGTTGGACTGCTGACGACGATGAATCGTTCAGCATGGTTTGAGGCACGCGAGCACCTTAAGCATCTTGGCAACTACGAGACGCTGCGAGCGATTCAGTCGGCCATCATTTGCGTGGCGCTTGATAGCGTGGAGGTGATAACTTCGGATGAGGCCGCACGGATCTTCCTTCACGGCAGCGGCACCAACCGATGGTTTGATCGACACAACATTATTGTGACACGTGATGGTTGGGCGGGTGTGAACTGGGAGCACTCCGTCGCGGACGGCACGGCAACGTTGCGTCTGGCGGATTGCATGTATCAATCGGATTGTGATCATGTCTTTACAGAGAGTTTGATTGCAGAGCTGTCGACAGACGAGTCTCGACGCACGCGTGCTTCTGTGCTTATTACGGATT